CTCGTCCTCCATTTTCCGAAGGTGATGATTGACTGCTTGTAACACCACACTTTGATTTTAAAGAAATTCCGGACTTTCAAAAAAATCAGAACAAATTTTTCAAATTCTTTTTCGAAATCAAGGGCATTAACTAACACAATTTACTTAATCCAAGTCTTATCTGGACTCACGGGGATTCATAAACCCGATTTTTCACAAGGTTTTCATTAACCTGATTCACACCTCAACATAATATCCCATATGAACAACTGAAATTTCATAAATCAAACACCATGATTATTCAAGGTTCATAAAAGGTTTTCCAAAATATTTTCAAACATCAAAACATAGTTCGAAAACAGTTTTCACATGTCCAAAACATTGAAAGGTTCATAACGACCATATTAAAGCGGAAGCAAAACGAAACAAATAATCGACCACCACTCGTCCTTCGTCCCATCACCCGGCCACTGCTTAACCTGCATCCGTGAAGAGCAGGTGGGAATGAGCACAAATGATAAAGTACTATGCACATAATAACATGTAAAGATGGTATGGTCGCAGCATGAATATAAATCAATCATCATCATGTCTCATCTCCTAACAATCACAACAATAACTCACTCATGTGCACATCTATTATTAGCTGCGGAAAGGGGATGCATAAACTCTAACGACGGGGGTGCGTGCCACTGTAACGGACACGGCCTTTCATTAGGTCTTAAGGAGACTTGCCTCGCAAGGGCAACCGTACTGTAACTCGACGGGGACAATCGTACCGACGGCCATAACAACTCACATCAGTAGGCCACATGGTTCACATTCATACATTGGTCATACTAACTAAACATTAAACAACACGTATTGCATAGACAATTTTAGATTAGAACCTACCTGGAAATTTCAGTAGGAAATTGCACACAAGAGTAAGTACGTAGGATGAGGGCTCGACTCCTCTAACACCTACATTTAAGCGAGATAATATATCAATAATCTATCTCACTAGTCGAATTTAACATAAAACCCACACTTAATCAAAATTAAGGTTTAAGGGTTTTAATTGGATTTTTCGTGGACATGGAACTCTCTCTTTTTAGAAAATAGAACTCGGAGAACTAAATATTGGAGTCTCGGGACTTAGAATTATTTTATAAAATTTTTCTCATTTTGAAAATATTTTTAAAATTGAAATCAGTATTAAAACGGGCTTCCGGAACTCAAAGTAGGGCTAAAAAGTCAATTGGGTCGGGCTGCCAAACACTTGCCCAACACTGCCCCACATTTGGGCTACTCACACACGCTTTTGGGCCGAAATGCTGGCCCAAATACAGGTTTAAGCGGGCCAGAAACTGGGCTGCTCGCGGGCCAGGTTGCTGAGGGAGAGAACGGGCTGCACGCGGGCTGGTTTTGGGCCGAACGGCCCGCGCACTGGGCTGGTTTCAATAATATAAAAAAAAATTGTATCAACGCAAGGGCTGGGATTTGAACTCGCGACCAAAGACACAAAACTGGGCATCGCCACCACTACACTACACGGCGACTTGCGAGAATAATTGAACGGTTTATTCTAAAATTAACAGTTAAAAATATGGGCACATGAACAGCAGAAAAATCGAACAGAGGCTGTGCAAAATTTTGAAAAATCTTAACAGAAGCTGCAACTCAGGTTCGAAAAGTTTAAAAAAAAATTCAGAAACCAAACCCCTTATCAGCTTTTGAATATCAAGTTTATATGAATCGAAAACGAAGACGGTATTACTGGCTTGAACCGAACACATATATAGTAATGACTACTCGAACATAAAATCGACCGAATTCAAACGAATTCATCACAGCAGCATCAAGACTCGACTTATACAAAGAGTTCCAAAAGTCTACGAAAATTCACGAATAGCAACATATGAATCGATTAACGATATAACTAAACCGACAAATCATCGAATCTCAATTAAATGAGCACGACAATAATCGAGCGATATACTAGCACGAGTAAAATAACGAGAAGGTTCGAAAAAGATTACCCGTCTTCGGGAATCTACGAGAAATCGGAAAAATGGGTCGGACAACAGGGTGAACGAACAACGGGACTCGGACTTCTTGAACCTGGTGTTGCTCGCGAACGACCTGG